AGTGGAGAACTAGGCTGGGAGATGGGGGGGAGGGCAGGAAGTAGGTGTGCACAGAATGGATGTGGTGCTACAGAGTGGCAGGGGCAGGGACCCTCCCTGGAGAGAAGGTCTTCAGAGTCAGACTCCAGGGGATGCCGAGTTGAGGGGCTAGAGCAAGGGAGGGGACACCTCATCAGGTCAGCTATACGCTCCCAACCGACGGCACTGCTCTTTAACTACTTAACAAAATAAGGAAGTAACTGAAGAAAAAATTGAGGGGAAGTAGATGAGAGAAACTATAAAAGAATAATTTAGAAGAAGAGAAGGTAGGTTGCATCTGTGCTCAGTTCAAGTTTCTGGAAGGCAGCTGGCATTTGCTGAGCACCAGGGAGACAAGCCAGGCAAGCAGGACATGTGGCTGCTCCCGGTTCTGTTCCTTCTCGTCGTCCAAGGTGAGTGGGGCAGAGGCTTCAGGACCAAGTACCTGGAGGACCTGGGTGAGACTTAGACAGGGGCTTTCCTGGAGAAAATGGCAGGGCCTTTCATTCATCAAGATACTTTTTCATTGAAAAGATAAAAAAATTTTTTTGAAATCTAACTTCTTTTTTTTTAATGTTTATTTATTTTTGAGAAAGAGACAGAGAGAGACAGGGCATGAGCAGGGGAGGAAAAGAGAGAGAGGGAGACACAGAATCCAAAGCAGGCTCCAGGCTCTGAGCTGTCAGCACAAAGCCCCACATGGGGCTCTAACCCACGAACTGCGAGATCATGACCTGAGTCGAAGTCGGATGCTTAACTGACTGAGCCACCCAGGTGCCCCTAAAAAATTTGTTTTAAGTTTTGTTATCTGAGAGGTACTAAGTTAGGTGTTGGGGAATGAAAAGAAAAATAAATAACGTAAATGGTGTCTGTTTCTAGGGCACTGTTTGTCAACCCTGGCAGATAGTTTGATAGATGTTAGACGGATGGATGGATGGAAGGAAGGAAGGCAGGAAGGAAGCATGGATGGATGGACGCATGGATGGATAGATGACAGATACATACATGCACTCATATATGCACATATACATAAATAATTGCTGAGGAACTTTTAAGGAGCACAGATGATCAGGTTCCAGCTGAGACCCACTCAGTAAAGGTGGGATTCAGACATCAGGATCATTTAAAAGCCTAAACAACTGGTTTTAACCTGTAGCTCGAGCTGGGAACCTCTCTCCTGAAGAACTCAGACTACAGCGAGGAAGACAGGCAGCAAAACCAGGGTGTGACAGGCTCTCTGGAGAGTTCTTCAACCCCACACATCAGCCTGCCTGAGTCCCTGCTCTGGATGATCCAAAGACAAGACTGTTGGCCAGTGTCATTAGCTCAACAAGCAAGACACTCTGAGTGTGTCACCTGGGAGGGAAGATCAGAGATGAGAAGGTGACTGTTTGTGGGCTGGATGTCAAATCCTTGGATGCAGCTGGTGCTTGATGCTCAGAGAAGACAGTAGCTAGTGCAGGACCATTTGGCTGTCCCAGCTCTGTTCCTTCTCATCCTCCAGAACCACAGGGCTTGGGGTAGGATGCAGAGAGTGACTCTTCTAGGCAGGAGGTTATCATGAGAAATAAAATGACCCCATTTACTCATCCACTGATGTTATAGAAACATGGAAGTACAAGGTATGTAGGTAAAAAAAAACAAGCAATCACCTGTGCGAGTGAGTGAGTGTGTTTGGTGTGTGTGTGTGTGTGTGTGTGTGTGTGTGTGTGTGTGTGTTTAGTTCATGTCAGTTTGGAGGCTGAGGGTTTATAGGTGTGTGGGGGTTAGAGTGTCAGGGGCATGGATGGGGAGGGGGCCACGCTGTCTCACCAGCTCTGGGATTCAGAAATACACCTGTGGCTGCAGTGTGCGCTCTGTGCTACCTGGAAGAGGTGCTGCTTGAGGGAGGGCAGGGGACGGTGGTCAGTAGGATGGCAAGTGAGTGGAAGCCACTATATTGGGCAGTTAGGAGACCCAAGGAGGATGCCCAAGAGGGGTGACAGCAAAAGAAATTCTGCGGGAGATGAATGGACAGGAGGGATGTGGTGATTAGACAGAGGGCAGAGGTTCCTGGCTGGTATTCAGGGCAGGGCCAGAAGCTGCAGCAGCGCCTGGGTCAACTCTGGGCCAAGGGAGGACAAGGTGCATGTTGGTTTCTGTTTTCCAGGCCACTTCTGCACCTGCTTGGAGAGAATGGTGAGAGGCAGAGAGGGGGGCACTCTGACCACATCCTGTGAGTATAGCCCAGGATGGGAATCCTACAAGAAGTGGTGGTGTCGCGGGAAGAATTGGAATTCCTGCAAAATCCTTGTTAAGACCACTGGGTCAGAGAAACTGGTGAAGAAGGGCAGAGCGTCCATCCAGGAAAATCAGAGCCGACGCATATTCACCGTGACCTTGGAGGATCTCCGTCGGGAAGACGCAGACACCTACTGGTGTGGGATTGAGCGAACCGGCAATGACCTGGGGTACAAATTTTCTATTGTTGTCGACCCAGGTAAGTACTACCCCTCCTGTGCTCTGGGGCCCTGGGACCCACCCCCAGAGGAGTCAGGACTGTTCCTCTGACTTTCCAGGTAGATGGAGAGGAGTCTCAAAACTCTCCTGAGGCTATATGTGTGTGTGTGCTTATGCGAGCATGTGTGTGCATATGCAAGGGTATACGGGGGGCGCCAAGAGTCTGAGAAAGACTGGAAGAAAGAGTGAGCCCCCACAACTCCACATGTCTCCACCTGCTCTCCCCAGAGGGAGCAGAGAAGGACAGACTTGAACAGGACGGGCTTGTCCAGGGAAGACAGCTCCTCTTTTCCTGGTCACATCCCATCCTGCGTGGGGCATTATCAGGCATACAGAGAGGAGTGGGGAGCCAGAAAGCCATGATCCTGAAGGTATTACCTACAGGACAAGAGACCCTCCCCCTGTGCCCTCTTTCTCCCCCTCCCCCTTCTGGCAACGTCAGCACAAAGGAGTAAGCACGGGACTGTGCACCCAGTTCTGGGAGAAGGGAAGGTAGGTTCCACCATGGTGCGGGCACCCTCTCTTCTGGCTGCTTCTATCCTTGGAGGGGACCCTGGGCTCCCCTGCAGCTGCCCCAGAAGCACTATGGCCTCCCTGGAGACAGGCCTGGAAGGAGAGTCAGGCTATAGCCCCCACCCCACTGCTCCACCTCTGGACCCCTGCATCTTGTCTCCAACACACAGACATACAGGCACTAGGTAGGTAATGCATCTGCTACTCAACACTCCATTTCTAGAGAGACAAAAGTCTCTTAAAACTTAGCATATGCACATATGGTATGCGAATGTGTGGAGTGTGGAGGTATGCTTGTGTAGAATGTTCCAGAAATTAACTGAAAAAGACAAAAGTAGGGAGATGTGTGCATGAGTGGAGGAGGAGTTGGTGCCAGAGAATTGGAGTCTGGACCCT